AGCGAACTATAGGATCGCCCAACACCCAAATTCAACACGAGATTATAGAAACAACAAATCTCATAAAAACATCAATTCATATTGAATTAAAACATTTCTAAAATTCATGTTGCCCTATATTCAACCAAATTTTCAGAGAAAAACCTGAATATTTTCCTCCAACCACTCAAACTTTATAGTTACGTCGTCATTGTAACCATTCAATTTGATTTTATTTCACCATGATCATTCAATTTCATATAACGTTTCATCAGACCGCCTAACTTCATATAACATTTCACCATAGCTATCCAACTTCTTTTCACCATTTTCATTAATTTTAAAAGGGATAAAACGATCAAAATAAAAACTTATTTTAAAAAAAGTTACTTAAAAAAATAAAATAGAATAAAAAATTATTTTTTTTAAAAGAATGTTATTTAATAAAATAAAAACCTATTTAAAATAAAGTTACTTAGAAAAATAAAAAGCTATTTTAAAAAATGTTTCCTTAAAAAATAAAATAAAATAAAAAATTATTTAAATTTTTTTAAAAATAAAAAATAATATTTAAAATTTTAAAAAAACTTTTATTTTGTTTTTTTTTAATTTTTTTATATATAATATAAATTTACTGTTTTACCCCTTTTAAAATTAGTGAAAATAATTTGGGTGATCATGATGAAATGTTATATAAAATTAAATGGTCATAGTGAAACATTATATGAAATTGGGTGGTCATGCCAAAATAAAATCAAATTGAGTGACCACGGTGACGCTAAATATAAAGTTGGATGGTCGTGGTGAAACAAAATCAAATTGAGTGGTAGTGGTGACACTAAATATAAAGTTGGGTGATCATTAATAAATTTAACCCGTTTATGTAGAGTAGAGGCGAGTTTTGTTGTTTCTATAATCTCGTGGAATTTACTAGATCAATCGTTGCTAAATCTATTTTATTTTGTTATTATTAAATTTACCTCCAAAATTTCAATTAAATTATTAATGATATAATCCAAGTATAAGTATTTAACAAAGATCTAAAAAAGGTAATTCGTGACGAGGCTTGGAGGCAAAGTTTCGGACTAGCGGCCTAGGCGAGACTAACGTAAAAAGACATTTTTTTATTTTAATATTATTTTAAAATTTTAATCAATCTAAAAATCGTTTAACAATACATACAAATTATGATACCAAATGCAATCTTAAGAATATAAAACAAATATTTACGAATTATAAACAAGATATAATATAATAGCACTAATTGAAGGAAAAACGATTAATTAACTTAATGAAATATAAATAACCATGTATACAATAATACAATACATTATATTACAGCCAAACTAAATGTACAATACATTGCAACTAAACTAAAGAAATTCTTACATCACATCGAAAGTTCACAACAAATTTCTTGGAGAGACCCTCTATAAATTATGGGCCAATAAGTGAGTAAACAACTTTTAAGACATTTCAATTCAATTGTCTTGAATCTCTTGATAGAGTTCCAAATTTTATAATAATTAAACATAAATAATAATAGTAATAAAAAAAAAGAAAAAAAAATTAATCGTGCCTAGACACTCCTTTTACAACATTGTGGCAAAAAATTTAACTTTCAAATTCAAAGTTACCAGAACAGAGAAAAGACAAGAAGGTGAAGACTAAGAGGTCTTTTGATTTAATTTAAAGATTGTACTTTTTACGGAATATTTTTTTCTCGATGGTTTTGGATACAGGTCCATCCTCGTCTGAGGCGTTGCCCCCGAACCACTCCACCTGATGAATATCTTTCATATTTACAAATACATTTCTCTAAAATTTACATATATTTAAAGGAACCGAACGGAACCGAACCGACCCGAACCGAACCGAACGGAACCGAACCCGAACGGTTCCATAATTATATTTGGACCCGACGGGTCCATTTATTAAATACCCGAAAGTTTTGGGTCGGTTCGGATCTCTTCAGAACCGAACCGAACCGACCTACGGACAGCCCTATATTGAATAAAAACATTTCAAAAATTCATGTTGCCCTATATTCAATCAAATTTTCAGAGAAAAACCTGAATATTTTCCTCCAACCACTCAAACTTTATAGTTACGTCGTCATGGTCATTCAATTTGATTTGCATGGTCATGATGAAATATTATATAAAATTAAATGGTCATAGTGAAACATTATATGAAATTGGGTGGCCATGCCAAAATAAAATCAAATTGAGTTACCACGGTGACACTAAATATAAAGTTGGATGGTCGTGGTGAAACAAAATCAAATTGAGTAGTAGTGGTGACACTAAGTATAAAGTTGGGTGATCATTAATAAATTTAACCCGTTTATGTAGAGTAGAAGCGAGTTTTGTTGTTTCTATAGTCTCGTGGAATTTACTAGATCAATCGGTGCTAAATCTATTTTATTTTGTTATTATTAAATTTACCTCCAAAATTTCAATTAAATTATTAATGACATAATCCAAGTATAAGTATTTAACAAAGATCTAAAAAAGATAATTCGTGACGAGGCTTGGAGGCAAAGTTTCGGACTAGCGGCCTAGGCGAGACTTTAACGTAAAAGTCATTTTCTTATTTTAACATTATTTTAAAATTTTAATCAATCTAAAAATCGTTTAACAATACATACAAATTATGATACCAAATGCAATTTTAAGAATATAAAACAAATACTTACGAATTATAATTACATGGAGTATGATTTTTTTGGACGTAAATTTTCGATTGTAAAAATTCTACCAACTTCTTTACAAGTTCGATTGTGTCCCCCCAAAGTTAAAGTTCTGCGTCCGCCCATGGTCGGAGGCGTTGCCCCCGAACCACTCCACCTGATGAATATCTTTCATATTTACAAATACATTTCTCTAAAATTTACATATATTTATTTTCAACATTAAACAACTAACGTGCAACGCACGTTAACCACACTAGTATAAATGACAAGAACAAATTTCTCTCAAACTCTGGGAATGTGACCGTGTAATTTAGTATTCAAAACTTTGCCTAACCAAAAAAATAAATAAATTGATGAAGATATTGTGAATATGTGATTACAAGAATTTATACTTTAAATAATCTATTAAGTATATCTGCTTAGCTTACTTTAAATATCGATGACATCACAAATTAATTATTGATGAATTATTTAATTTTTGTTTTCACAAAATATGTAGATGTGTTTAAAAGCTAATTAACTTTCTTTATAGCTTGTTTAAATTTTTTTTTTTTTCTTTTTCTTTTTTGAAATCATGCATAAGATACTGTAGAGGAAAATGGCTAAATTACGTTTAAATATTCCACAATCAATTTATTTTATGGCCAAAATTTTCATTTAATATATTTGACCTACACGAATTGTTTAATGTCATTCCATTCGTATATAAAATATTCGGAGATCTATAGGGTGTAAATTACACATTGCATACCATTTTTATATTTTTTAGAATTTATACTATATTTTGTAGAATGCTTACAAAATACACCACGATTTGTTGTAAACTTACAAATATGACATTATAATAAATGATTAATAGTAGAAAACTCCCTAAAAACGTTTTCATGTGTGATATCCTACCTATCGGAAATCATTGAAAAAACCTTCATTTTTTATGCCTTTTGTGCGAAAAATTCAATTCCGTCAAGATCCGTCAGATTTGTCTTTAAAAAAAGTAAAAAAAAAAAAAACTAAAACTAAAAAAGAATAAATGCAATTTCAGTACCCAAACTTTTAATTTTTTACAATTAAATCTAATTTTTTTATATACCTACAACCTCAAATCTTTAAAACTTTATTTTTCACCCACGCACCCCTACTTCATCTTCTTCCTCAAGAACAGAGGTGATCATCAATCCTTTTAATTTTGTATAAGCTTTTATATTTTTTTCATACATTGTGAAATAAGAGGTTTTATTTAGTCTACATATCAGCAGCTAATGACATTCATTGTACGACGTTCGAAGCTTACTAAATCCATTTTAGCCGCCAACTATGGAGACTCATAACACCACATTTCGTCCCCCAAGGCCCCCTGACCCAATCACCACCACCCTCGTTGCACTCCCCCCCAATAATTTCCATCCATTACCGACACCAAATCTATCGGAAACGGCCATAATTTCAAACCAAAACAGTAAACTGGTGAACACTTTTCTTGCCGGCAATCCCACTTCCGACGACACCCATGATCGCGCACCTAAACATGGCACATCAATCCAAAAAGCCTTCTCTTTCACTTCATGCCTCACACAGCATCCAATCCCTAAAATTGGCATCAATCAAACCAACAAAAAGTCCAAACGACCATGGATATGAATTTAATTGAGCCAATTATCCCCCCAACTACTCCAATTTCTGGTTCAAAGTTCGCTCCGAACAATTTGCACAACGACTATGTTCTGTCCAAAATTGATGGATCCCAAGCACTTCAATCTATAAATTCATATGAGGGAATGCATAATCAAGTCCAAACAAACATGTGCATGCAAACAATTGATCCAATCCAGCCATTAAATCCGTGATCAGCTTGCAGGACAGAACCTTTTTTTTTTTTTGGGAAGAAGATGGAGTGAGGGGGGATGCAGAATAAAGTTTTAAAGATGTGAGATTATATGCTGTCATATAAAATTTAGGATTTAATTTGTAAAAAAAAAAAAATTTGGGTGCTGAAATTGCGAGTATTCATTTTTAATTTGCCATTTTTTTATTGTTTTTAAAGGCAAATCTGACCGCAGAAAAGATTTCCTCTATTTTATATCATAAAACTGAAGCAGAAATGTACAAAATGGTAGGGAGGATAAAAAAAAAACATGAATTGAATTCTAAAGAAACGACGTGCTTGTTTGCTATTAGCTTAAAAAGTTGCTAAATGATGAGATCAAAATCAAGAATTAATTATCCACACATATCATTAAATCACTCATTTCATCAACTTCTATCAAAATCTAAATTCTCTTTTTATCAAAAGCTTTGTCGAACAACCCTTAAATGAAGAAAAGAAACTTTATAGATCGGTCAAGATTAACGATGACAAAATAACAGCATTAACTAGGAAGAAGAAGATTGCTATCTGACGGTAAAACTTCGGATCCCTCATGTTTGGAGATGTAACAGACCTGTAAAACAGAAATTACTCGTTTTCATCAACCTTACCGTGGATCAATGTAGAGAGACACTGTAAGAGCATGAAATGCTAATTCCAGTCCAATGTGATGCTTTAGGAGAAATTACCTAGCAATGCGTTGAGAAAGCCGATGGAAGGGCATACTTTGAATAAAGACAATACCGGGTCCAGTTAGGACAGCAGTCACCAGATTTTCACCCTGCAAGTGAAGAGATATAGTAAAAAATACGAGACTTCAACACTTTGATTGGCTTTTCGTACGTTAAAGGTTACTGTACATCATGCAGAAATGTTTTACCTTAAAGAACAAATTGAAATAGCCAAAAAAATAAAAGCAAACATCTATTGATTAACATGGAATTTTCGGGGTTAAAAGTTCATGAGATGAAATCTGGTGCCTTGCGTCACATAACAAATTTACATACTGTATACATTTTGTCAGGAACAAGTCAGTCAAAAATGTGCAAATCTGGTAAAATAGCTTAAGTTTTACTCTGCTATAAACCACAAGCATAACAAGCTAAGTCGGTCAATTTGCTTTCAATTAGCTATGATTGTTGGATAGATTCTAGAAAGCACATATTATTAGAAAAGCCAGTGTATTATGTATATTCGTATCTACAGTTGGAGAGGATTTAAATATAATTCTAGTCCAGAAAGCTCGAAATGGAACACTGACACACAACTATATTTCAACCAAGTTCACTAAGTGACCAAACATGACTCTTGATGACCGCCAATGTAGCTTAAACCTCACAAGAGCAAAAATCATATACGAAAAATTGGAGCCATCTGCGCGGACCAAAAGGAGAGGCAACTCATAATCCAAAATACAGTTAAACCACACCCCTCTAAAAAAAGTTCCAAAATGAAATCACATATATATAGTCTATTAACTTGGAGAAATACTCAGATGTCTCTACAATGTATCAGTATAATACTCTTATTTAACAAATTTCTACAGAAAAACCAAAAACTACCACAAAAAGAAAAAAAAGACAATAGTATGTGCAATTGAGACTAAAAGTATGTTTAGGAAGTGTTTATAAGCAGTTTAATTTTTAAATAAATAGAAAAGAGTCGTGGATAAGTTAGTACTCGTAGGTCCCTCGAAATGTAATGATAAAAAGTGGCTTGAATGTTGATAAAAAGTTTATAAACATGAGCCAAACATGAGCTAAATAAACATATAAACTAACAAAAGGAAAAGTTGGTATAATCCAAGTTAAAGGTCTGCTATACGAAACACTAGATGGAGCTTCTCCTGCTACCCGCAACTACACTTATTTTAGGCGTTACTGAAATTTTCAGACACATTACTGAAAAAATAAGGACAATTTACTTCATTTCTCCAATTCGTTTCAGTTTACCACAATAAGTTTTAAGTAACAAGATCTCCCTGAACATAGAATTATTTTCTAATTTAGGGATCTGAAACAAGCATCAAACGAATCTCTAATAATGTGCACAGCAGCTCATTTATAGCTGTGTTCTACATATATAGGTTTTTCAAAACTCCAGCTACAGTCTCAGAGCAGATCCTTTCTGATCCATTGGTTTTGTTTCACCTTGTCGTCCAAGTGGCTCTTCCAGGAATAAGAAATTAAAAAAAAATGAATACAGATATGGAAAATTATGTGCCTAAACAGCAAAATACTCATTGCAGTCTGGCCACAACCCAAAGAAGGGCATCTGATGAGGAACTTAGTTTTGAGACAAGGAAAGCACAATATAACTTTGTAATCCAACTGCTAATTCTATGGAGATGCCTTCCCAAGGACTCTTCAATATGCATGGATATATTCCTATTACCATCTTCTTTATTCCCTAAAAATGATGAAATCCTCAATTATGGCATAAATCCCTCAACAGTAATATTTTCCTCCTTATTTTTATCCAAAAATGGACAAATAAGCACTAAATATCATCTCTGTTCTAATACACAGAATAATACCTTAGATTGCAAAAAAAGCCTCAAATACTTCTCCTAGATCATATGACCCAAATTCAACATCTATTTTATACAAAAGTCCTTTGAGATATTAGATTTTTAGGAGAATGTAATATTATAAATTAGGGAAAAGATATGGTCTATGTGCAAAATTATTTTATAGGGAGAATGTGTGGTTGAAAATGAGTGTGGGAAAAAAAGTTCTAGAAAATGGGGGCCAAACACGAGCAAATTGTAAACAATTGCATAATACATTAGCAAAGGAACTATTCATGACCTAGTGCACACGATTCAGAAAAATTAACTCAAAAATACAATTAGAAAAAAGGTATCCTAAAATAATTATGCTGTCATAAGTAACAAATGATTCTAGGAACTTAAAAAAGTTCAACGCATCAATTATATCTGGAGAAGTAAAAGAAGACATGGAGAACTCACCCCAAACACCACTCTTCTCATGGGACTATTATATTTTATTTGTACATTGACTGATGCTGGCAAGGCAACAATGCTTGACATATCAACAGAGAGTACTTCATCCACATCAAGATTTTTCTGGACAACTGGGAAAATAAGCAATCACGTTAGGCCAGAAGCAATGATAAAACATAGCAAGGGCTTCACCAGACTCTATTGAAATATGTAGCTGATCCAAAAGACCCTCATTTGACAGCAATATTTGAAGATTTGAAATCACATTCCACTGGTTAATGTTATTAACCATTCAACTGTCGAGAAAGAACTCCAGGACAAACACCAAAAACACAAACCTAAAATACAAGATCATATTATGCATGGGTTGTATCAATTATAGGAAATGAAATCCCTGCAAAATTTCCTGAATCAACAAAAATTGAGGTTATGTATGAGTAAAAGCTCTATTCTTGTACACGTGATAGATACAGTTTGAAAGACATCCTAGGAAAGAGACTAGGTACCTTTTTAGGACGCTGGCGTTTGATAAGACTAACCTTTTTTCTTTACTTTCAACCAAACAGCTAATTGCAAGTAACTCCATAAATAGCATTGGCATATGCAACATTTAGTCAAATCCTAACTATTTTTCTTCATACCCACCTTATCCATTTTAGCACGCAGCCACACATCCTTCCAAACATCCTCAGTTTTATTGTAGTCATGGACATTTTGTTCTTTACTATGTATGATAATAAAATATACAGTGAAAAATTATCATTAAACTAGATTTTGGAGTTTTAGATGAAAAACGTGTACTATCAGGCATTATGTTAGAAATTTTTGTTCAGGCCATGATAATATTCATTGATAGGATCAAACCTTTGATATCATAATTTCAAAAAAGTTATACTATTAAACTACTTAACATTTTAGAATCGAATTTTCTCCATGTGTTCATTTATGATGAGTTTCTTAGTATGAGAGATGATACAAAGGGATTAACTGTTTTGGAAACAGAAGTTTACTGTCAATATAAAGGAAGAGATATTTCATATTAATTCAGTAAAAACCATATTGTAGTGGATCTGAGTAGAAGCTATTTCAATATTCTCTGAACTTACATTTATTCTTAGCATATCTAATTTAAGAAGGAAAAAGACAATAAAACAATTAGTAATAAAGTAAATGTAAGTAACAGACCATTTTATTTTTGTCATTTATACTATACAGATAAACAAAATAAACAAGAACAAAATATTATAATTTTTTTTTGGATTTCCTTTCTTTGTTCAAGTTAGAGACATTCTTTTAGAGAGGAAAATGGAATTTAATTATTTGGATTTCCATTCTTTTGTTCAGATTAGTGACGCACCCAGTCACTAATTATAAGCAAAATTCTCTAGATCGTATGAAATATTTCATCATCCTAATATCCAAGTCAAATGCTCTACTCAAAAGCCCAAAAGTGTTTTACAACAGTGACGGCAATTTAATGAAACATACCAGAACCACCCCCAACTACAAATGCAAGTCCTTGACCAGATATCTTCTGCCTCAAAAATCCCTGCAGACATAATTGACTTGATAATCAACCATGCAGCACTTTTACAACCATATTCATGATAATTTACATGGTAAAGGACAAAAGGCAAAAACCTTGTCCTCCCACCTCAGCACTAGCTATCACATTGCGTGCCCTTGGATCAACTGTATTATTGATTTTGACGTCATTAATTGAACAAAGAAATGCATCTGGCTACAAAACAATATCAACAGTCATACTCCAATCAAAATGACAGTTAACTAGGAAGAGTGGGGAGGGGAAGGGGTAATATATACTCGAACCAAAACTTCGAGCAATATACTAAACAATTTGATTGCCAATGATTGATACCTGGCACAACATTTCACCACCAAACATTGCCAAGTCAATCTGCACAATAAATCTAGATCAGTAACATAAAACAGGAAACATTTTAGTAAGAACTAATCATACTTTATGGAATTGCCTAGTGAATCAATATTTGAATAATGATGCAAACCGGGATAATTCTTGCTAGAGAAGGTGCAGCAATTCCAACAAATCCATCAGCTGAACCTTTATTTTGGATAACTATGCTAGTCACACTTTTTCCGAAAACCCACTGCAACACACCTGCTTCATTTTCAGGTGCATAAACATTTTCCATTTGGACAGAATCAGACATGTAGCACATTGTTCCTGCAAAAAACCCAGACATGAAAGGCACACAGGAGTGGAAAATTAACAATCAAGACAAAAAGTGGAAAAATAGATGCAGGTAACTCCTGACAATTAAGCAAAAGCATAAGAACTACCCATACTTTACTCACTAAAAGCTTATTCGACCTTTAAATTACCAAGTCAACCGAGCTGGGATTAGCCAAGCTTCTTGAATAAGACAAAGTAAAGAGACTCTTTCTTCAGCTATTGTACTTTACGAGCATAAGACTGATCTGCTTCTAAGGATATCTTAATAAATCTGTAATTCTATCCACCCCTATTTCATTATCAGCCTTTAATTTACAGAATGTTCAAAATGATGTAGTAGTAGAAAAAGTCATAAGAATGGCCATGGTAAAATTCCATACTTTTTTAAATAAGTTAAAAAGCAAAAATGTAAATATATTTATCTCAAATGGATTATAATGACATGCCATTCTACTTATGGAACAGGCAACTAATGCATTTCTAATGAAAATATGAACATTGATATAGATGACTTGAAGATTGAGGAAAACTGATTTGCTAAACCACATGATCTAAAAGTTTAAGAGGCTGGAAAGGGCCATGTGTATATAATTTATACCTTTTCTTCAACATGCACTAGGTTCATTTTTTTTTCAATAAAGCCTAACAAGTGAACAGTTTCATTAAACGGGTGACTGAGAGGCTTGAATTCAAGATCTCTGCTCAGATAACACGTAAACAATTTCATTAAATGAGTGACGGAGAGTCAGGAATATATGTTACGTATGAGACCTTCAATATTTTCCATTAATTCATAAAAATCTGACGCATGTACGGTATGACCATACTGAATAAAAATGGTAACAAGGAAAATTTAATACAGTTAGCTAATCTGATCATACCATATTGACTAGGAAACAAATGCATTACCCCCAAAACAACTTAGACTTGAGGATCTGGTTCCATCCCTCAAAAAAGTTGAATATTAATCGATTTCATATAGTTTCATCCCCACCCCACTCTAAGATTTCATTGTCCTGTCCTCAAATTACAACAAGTACAGCACATAATTCACCTGAAGCCAACCAGTTCCCTCTTTTTTGGATCAATTTCTAAATTCCAGCGAAGATTAATAAAAAATCATACTGTCTTGTAAACAAAAGCGAAGGGTTGCATGGGCTTCAAGTCCACCTATCATGATCCAACCTTAGAGAACAAACTTCTATTTTAACGCCATTAAATATGTTTGGATGCATCTTTTTTTCCTGAACTTGACCTCTTGTACTCAAGGTGATCCAAATTCTTATTTTATCCTCTTCCGTACTTCTCTATTTGTACAGACAGAGTAGTATATTTGGGTTTTAATATAATTGAATAGAGCCTATCTCTTGTTTCTGTTATTCATAAACAAGTGAACGAACTGATCTGTTATCTTAAGGTCATGGAAAGAAAGAAATCCAAAATGAAACTTAGTCACTCTGCCTTGTCATCAGGAATGCAGATAGAGATTCAGCACATCCTCAAAATAGGCAAGCTGAGCACAAACAAACATGTGCTCTAAGAAGCTTTGTTCGTTCCCAGTCCACATACTTACTATTTAAATTCAAGAGCTACTAAACAGATCCATGGCACTCATAAACTTTTTTACTGAATCCAGTATGCAAAAGCCATTCTCATAGTGGGTAAATCTCAAAAAGTTTCAATGGCACCCGCCTGCTCATAGCATTCCTTAGCCAAAAGAAATAAGTATGCCCAATCACAGAGTTACATTTGAATATTTCAGATATGTAAAACTAATAGGGAATGAATATAGGAAATAAAGGAAAAGCTTCAATCATTCAGTGTGAACTAGAACATGATTGCATATTAAGAAAGAAATAAAAAGTAACATACCAGGCTTTGCAATCACCTTCTCTTGAGGTTTCAACATTATCTAATGAGGAGAAGAAAATGTGGGAGAAACCTCAATTAGATAGAAAATTGAACCTCCTCCAGCAACAAGAAAGAAATATTCGAAAGTACCTGAACTATCTGAGCTTCACTGCCCAAAATCTGAAAAGGTGTAACAGCATCTTGTGGGCTCTATAAAACAATTTCCATGAGCAATTACAAGCGACGATAACCACTCCAGGAAAGAAAAAGAAACTGGTCGTGGAGATAATTACCAAATTAAGGTAGAAATAAACAAAGCAATGCTTCTTCTGTTAAAATCCATATGGACCAAAATGGTTTTAATTTATTCCTAAATTACATGTTATGCAGGTCAAGGCACTACTTCTCACTAGGTGCCCATAAAAGGATGGATACAACCTGAAGCTCATAGATTTATGGGTCTAAATCCCAGACAAGTTAAAAAAAAAAAATTGAATCTCCACTAGAGCCCCAAATAACGTTAGTGATACAATTGTATGCATTAGTCTCATTTATGCATAAAATTAGACAGCTCAATATTACACATCGTTGAACAAGCATGACATACACTCACTTAGTACAGTAACAAGTCTAGCAAGACCTATTGTCACTCCTTGATTTTCATAATGAATGCTTCCACTTACTCAGTGGCTATCTATTAACTAGAAAAAAATTAATTATTTATGGAATAAAAATTTCATTTACTCGTCTCCTTCCTTCCTTCCTTTTCCTCTTCACATCAGGTAGATTTATGATAAAAGTTCTAATTGCTAACCAGCTGGTTTAGTGTATAATTAATCGAGCTGGTAAAATATTGGTTTCAATTTTATTCTTTTTCAAAATTTCCACTGGAACCCCAAAATAGTGTGAGAGATACAATAGTGTGCATCACTCATTTGTGCATAAAATTAGACAAAGCATTCAATATTACAACTTGCCGAACAACCATGACAGTGAACTCAGTAATAGTAGCAACTAGCAAGACATATTGACAATCCTTGATTTAAAGTTCAGATGATACTACTTATCTAGCTCGTTGAACTTATACTTAATCAAGCTGCTAAACTATTTTTCTGTATAGATAACATAGCTACTTCTTTTGTCATTTTCTTCAGGTGGTTAGGCTATTTCTATTCTGTTGCTTATCCTCTCAGGCGGATTCATTGTATTGGAGAAGGTTGTTACAACTCCTTCTATAAAAAGGCATCAGAGAAGGAGACAATATATACAATGAAAGCCTTTTTTTAATCTTTGTCTTAACTTTCAGGATAGCACAATAATGCCTCCAAAGAGGCCTGAACTTTGCTCATGCATAGTTTTCAAATACAAATTACAAGGCAAAAAACAGGAATAGTTGCCTAACTCACATGTACTCATTCGTGAGCAAGAGTGGCATTGGTATTAGAAAATTCAAAATTCAGCCACATGAGCAAGTTAAAGTTCAAAACACAGATAAAAAAATTAATAAAAATTGTTTTTTGAGTTCAGGCACGCGATCATCACAGCCCATAAACATATAGCAATCACGAGCTCTCATCATAGTTCAAACACACGCCAATTAAACAAAATAAAATGATTCTTTACATCCCTGAACAGAAAACAGCAAATTCATTTCACCACTTTCAATTCTACCACATATTTGATCAACATCATTGAATACACAGGGAACAAAAATTATTGACTAAAACAAAATAATAATCCAAAATTTAAAACCCTAAATTCAATATTATATATCGATTACCTGATAAACAAAAGGTTGAAAAGGTGTAGAAAAGAATGGAGCTGCCATACTGAAACTAAGAAATCGTAGCTCGGAATGCTTAGCAGATCGCAGAATTAAAAATCAAATAATGTAATCTCATTTCCATATGCAGGGTTTTATTCTACTGTATTTTCATGATCAAGTCCCAAACTTTGTATTTTGTGGCACTCGAATACACAAAATACAATTTTACTCTCATCTTTGATTAGAAACTCAAATTTTTGATAAATAAAAGATTTTACCTTTATCATTTAATTAAATGTAAAAATAAAAAAAATTAAGTTATTGAGAGGTGGGGGTGATAGATGGAAGCAGAGACGAATTCAGGAAGTCGAGTGAACTAGGACGGTTGTTGACCATTTACAACAATTTAGTTTATATATCTACAATTGTCATAGTGGTAAAACTCTCGATCATCACATATTAAGTAAAAAATTCGAATCTTATCTATTGCGAATATATTATAAAACTTTTCTTTTGCTAATTTGATAGATTAAAAAAAAATTAAAACAAGAGGAGAAAATTCTTGGAATTGAACTCTATACCTGATATACAGAAAGTTGATGCTCTGCCATATGAGCTACGCAAATTATGTTGAAATTTATTACATTTATAAATATTGAACGTAAATTATCAAAGTTCTATAATTTTTTTTTCCAAGAGATCCAACACGGGCAACCGTACCGGATGCTGGATCCTCCCCTATATGGAAGGCTAGGCAAGTTCAATTTTTCTCTTTAATTTTAATTTTTTTTATATTTAACTAACTTTTATGTAAATAAAAATAAGATTTGAGTCATAATTTTTTTTTAAAAAAATTTTGATTTATTATTTAAACATAAGGTAAAATTATGAGGGATTCTAATATTACAAAACTGAAAAGATTGAAGACTGAACCAAAAATATAGATGAAGACCTACTTGTTACATTTTCAATATGGTGGGGATCGAAAGTGAAATATTTCCTTTAAGTCAGTGGCAATTTTGTCAATCCATGATTCAGTGATGTGGTGATGTGCCATTGGATAGAGACTCTACGAAGACGTGGCCACGTCCCAAGCTGGCATTTTATAATTTATTTTTTTATTATTTTTTTGGAGAATTAGTGCATTATCGTTAAACATTAAAATATTATTTTACGGTAATTATATATTGAGGAAATTGCACAAAAGAAATTTTGACAATCAAATCACCTTTATAGTTCATTTGGTACCAAAATTGAAAGTCAAAAAATCCATTTGTCAAGAAAATTTAATGTGGAATTAAGCTTACAATCGTGCTTCATGTATAGTGAATTTTTATGAGTACGAGTGAGATTACCCTCGAGCTTAAAATTACAATACATGTGCACATAAGGAGAATCAACCACGTCCCCTACCCGTCACAAGGACCTTACTATGGTAACATAAAGGATAACTTAAGGGATGACATAATTTGATAAAAAGACATAAATGCCCTTCTTCTATTCTTTACTCAAGTCAAAATTCTCTATTCCTAATATAGGATAAGTTTG